AATTTTCTATTTTGTACCTCGATAAGTTTATGTTCTTTATGGTTCGTGATTTAAATAAAAAAAAATAAATAAACGAATTGTGTGTTTCAATAGTTTTCCCAAATGTTTGATTTCATACAAGGTGAAATGCCCCATTCTCCGGCAATTTTTTGTTCGTTTGACATAATATTGCTAAGAAAATATATTTTTTGTTTTCAAAATGTCTTAAACTGTATAAATATTTACATATACTAAACGTCTTAAACACGTCCATGGATTTTATATATGCGTTTAGTAAAAATACGTTAAAACATGTAGTTAAAAATGCAACAACCGTTGAGTAAGCCGTTAATAACATTATATGAATAATAAAATCATTCATACGGCTGGGCTTGAACCTGTTACGTCTGGCTTGCTGCTGAGTTATCGTGATCTGTAAAGACAGTCCATCAAGTATATAATTGTCACATAAAACTTACTGGTCACTACAAAAATTTCACTCTAGACAACACCTGGATAATGATTGGAAAAGATAAATCAATATTTTTAAAGCTTATATAATTCACATTTAAGTTAACAAACTCGTTCATCAGTGAAATTAATCATGTCCATATAGTTACTAGTTATCACTTTTTGCTTGGCAAAACCATCTGAACAGATAACAGATAACTAGCATTGATTAACGTAACACAATTTTTCCCGTTGCAAATGCATAAAATGCATGCTCTGATATATTTTCTGCATGAAGCTCGCATCAACCGCCAACAAAGCTGAAGATCTCAACCGTCTGTACGAGGTTTACGATCTTACAAATCCACCGTCTGTCTGATTTCTCTCTACCATTTAGGATTTCTCTCTACCATTTAGACTTCCCAAAACCTATATTTTATCAATCTGAGTAGTAAACTTTTATCGCTAATGTTAGATATTCCTAAATACATCGATTTTCATAGTACGAGTTGTAAAATCACAGCACATGCGTCATCCTTAAAGCACAAATAAAAGTTATAACATACAAACCAAAAAAAATTTAAAAGTCTTTTATAGTCAGCTGAACAATGTTAGTCTAATGCACTGAGGTGATGATATTTATGTCTAGGAAGCTTAACTATTTAGTAATAACATATGAGGAATACACTTTAATACTAAGAAAACACTTTAATAAGAAAGAGAAAAGAGTATGTTTTGATAGTCGTCATCAGTAATTACTATAAACAAAGCTAACTGTTTGTCATTTCATGCACGGAATAGAAATTATATATTTTAAGATTAAGAATTTATTTATTTGACTAGGCTTAATGTTTTGAATCAGTTAGAAACAGCTGAAAACAATTATTATTTACATGAAAAGATTATTGGGCGATAAAAAATCGGCTTACTGCTAAACTGGCTTCGATAGATATTTTTAAAAATATTCATCAATATACACCAATATACACTCTCTAGCTTTGATAATAATGGTTGATGTTTTTCATTAAATCGATGTTTTATTATAGGTTACAGACTTATATGAGGTAAAGTAAGTTAAAAGCAAACCTTATAAAATTAATTTCATACAAAACGCCACACACGCTTGCAGGTGATGCATTTTCATCTGTGGCTTTTGAGCATTGACTCTGGTTTCATTATGAAATGTAGAAGTTAATGAGGTGTATTTTACAGTACACACTTGTACAAGCCTGAACATTGAATCAAGGCATGTTCGGTAAAGTAAAAACACTCCAGGCTCATTAACTTTGCAATTAACCATCGTCAAATTAGTGGAACATTCGTAAATGTTTAGCAATATGCGTGTAGCTTTAGAAACTGCTAGGTTAATTTTTTGAACTTTTCTTTAATTTTAAAACGTAGTAATTGATATGTATTATTTGATTTCCTTAATGTTGATGATTCTATCATACAAATGTAATACTCGCCTTACAACAGTGTTAGATGTATCTAAAAACGCCAAATTGGACAAAAATATAAAAAACCAAAACACATATTTCACAAACTATTCCTGTTTTCCAATGGAGATTTTTATTTTGTTATTGCTGACTGTAACACTAACGCGTGTTTATTTAGATTTGTTTAATGACTTGCGAGGACAAAATCAGAAACATATTGTGTTGGAATGGCACCGATACTTGAGTATGTTAATACATTTTTATAGGCATATAGCATAGCATATTTATTTTTCACACTGTGTTGTTGGTCACAGCGATGTAGGACACAAAAATAGCGAGTCTCTGGTTGTTAGTGTATATTTAGAATGAATCGACCTATTAATATTGTGCGCTGGTCACACCTACCGCACCGTGCTCTGTGTGTATTTTTACATCAAAAAGTTATAGTTTTTAGCAAGTAGTATTTTATTGCATATAATTATTTTATTATTAATATTCATAATAAGAACTATTTCGAATTGTTATTTTTAAGGGTTTTGTTTTTCCTATTTAAGCTCTGAAATGAAACTCTTTAATTACCGTACACACGGTGTATTTGTAATATTTAACTGTGTTATTATATTTCTTTTAAGATGAGGACTATAATATATTTTGTACTTTTTAAATTAACTGAAAACGAATGCGGTGGTGAACGTATTGAATAGGTGTACCAGTGTTTGGACACAGAAATCAAATTTGTCCCAGGACAGATAAGTATTTACGCCGAATATAAAAATAATATATCTAGAATAGATATATATATATATTAATAATTGGAAACATTATAACAACATTAAGTACCCTTTTAAATTCATTTTAATTTAATATTTATTTTAATGTTGTTATAATGTTTCCAATTATTAATATAATAGTAGCCCTAATCACAACCATAATTATTATATATATATATATATTCTATTATATTATATATATATATTTTATATATATATAATTTAATATCTAGATATTATATTATATTATATTCTACTTAATACGCCGAATATAAAAATGTATATTCAAGTAAGTATTCTGTATCAGTCCTGAAATATTAAAAATGTATATGTATTGAAATAAACGGTTTTCTAAGTTTGTTTTCTATCAGTATTTCACATAACTGTCTGTATCTTGGGTGCAATGAAGAGGGGGAAGAGGTCGAAAGTATAATGGTGACAAAGTTGAAAACGTGTCCCAGTTTAAATACCCATAATACCTTGGAGAGCTTTTAGTTTAAAAGTTTCAGTGGCATGAGCTCAAAGTTGGTTAAATTCAAGTTCGTTTTCTACCACCTAAGTTATGTTTTAACTATCTTACATTATGTGGTCTACACCACTAAGGTTTTTTTAATTTCAATTCAGTTTCCTGACGGATTTTTTGTGATATTTATTTTCTATTATTATGTAATAATAATTACTAGTGGTCGTCCAGTGGTCGAAAACTACGAAACACTACTCCTCCGTTAATAATGGACGGATTTTTACAAACGAGGTGTCAAAATTAAGTATTTTTTTGTGTAGACTCCCCCTTTTACCAATTTCTGTAATAAAACTCCTCGGGCTTTGCCTCACAGGCCATCAAAATCCCGATGTATTTCTTATGAATAAAATATTTTGTTTACTTAAACAGACGAATAATTTTTTTTTAATTGCATACTAAAACAGCTGTTCATAGTAAATACATGATATACACAAGAGCTTTCGTTTTCAGAGCGAGTTCGTTGTCATTTCAGTTTCGATAACTGGAGTGGAGTGAGTGAACATTATGTAAAAAGTGTAATTTGACTTCCAAAATAGACGTACTTTCCGTAAATCTAAAACGCGTGCAATGCTAGCCAAGAAAATATTTAACTAAAAGAATGCTATGCTATTTTGGTAATTTAGATAACATTTAATCTGGGTACAAGATACCAAAGATTAAGAAATATTTTGATATTAAATATAAGACTATGACGTAACAGAAACGTGGTGTTTCATAATGGTCCGTAATATTCTTTTTAGAATATACAATTGACACAGTACCATCATATTTAAACACGAGTAGGTTATTAGTTTTAAAGGTCATAGAAAGAGAAGCGTTCTTTTCAAACGTTTTAACTACAGAATGTACAAATTAATGAGGGATATTTTCCAGTACACGCTTGTATGAGCTGGAACATTAAATCAAGCCTTGTTTGCTAAAGTAAAAACACACTCTAGGCTCATTAACTTTGCAATTAACATGCACGAAATTAGTTCAGACTCATACATGAAAAATGATTCGTGGGTTGTGTTTAGCTTAAAAGTCACTTTACTGAATGTATAATGAGTTTATAAATATAAACTTTAAGTTTTGGTTTTTATCATAATCAGAGCTTATGTAAACTTAAAGAAAGGTACACAAAACAAAGTTTTTCTTCGTAAACGATGTAAAGTAAATGTCTGATAAAAATTGATAATGAATGTTTATAGATTTTTTCGGGCGAATAGAGTTTTAAGACTCAAATAAACGGCTCGACAGTAGAGCTATAACTGTGGGGATAAATTTAGAATAATTGGACCTATTAATCTAGCGCGATAGTCTCGGCTGCTTTCTGTGGATTTTCGAAGCTAAACACGCCGCCTCCACCATGCCTATCCTTATTCGATGTCGTTATTTTATATTTTTCAGTGTTAGGGTAGTTAATTTAACTCCATAACGAGTATCTACAAAGAAATGTAAGTGTTACACGTTGATAGACGTAGTTTCTAAACGTAAAAAATTAGAAACAAAAGTCGTAGTTTAAGGTTAAGCTGCGATATGAGTATAAGGATTATTTTAAGTAGAGATCATATACAACAAGTATGTTAAAATATTAATAATGCGTATGAGAGATCCCACTTAACTATTCTACTGCTTGTAATTTTCATTAAACTAAGACTATTTATTTAATTTTAATCATAGTTATCTAAGCTAATGAGAAATATTACGTTAAAAAGTTTCCGTTTATTATTTATCGATACAGGATATAATAGTCATCAGCTTTCTGTGATCACAATATTACCGTTTGCCTCAAATGTTAACTAATTACATCAGAGGACCAATGTTTTTGTTTGGAATGTTTCTGATGAAACTTGTTTATGTTTCAGACAATGTGATATGAAGGCGTCGTAGAGGCAGAACCAGCATGAAGGGACTGCACGTCCCTCTTCAACACCTAGTTCCCTACTCTCTCCTCATCGCTACCTTCACTTCAGTACAAACAGGTGAATTACATCGCCTTTACATCGCCTTTAGGTGAAGGTATTATGCCTTTACATCGTTTACCTTACCTTTCTTATGACCGGTCACACACTCCACGAACTTTACAGTTAGAGTTAAAGTAGAACATTGCATCGAATGCAAGAAGACGTGAAAATGAAACGTATTTACAGGTCCATGTTTACTGCCTGATAAGTGTCTAGAGAGTTTTGTTTTGCCAGAAAAATACGTTTTACAAAACCAAAAACCCCTTCCTGCTCATTTACTTCTCAACAAGTGACTACATCGTCCATATTCCACCAGGAATCGTCGAAGATTGTCGTGTGACGCTTTTCGGCGTGTTTGGAATGGTTAGGAGCTTTCAAACGGAATAATACGTCGTCTTGTTACTTATGGAGCAATTTATGTTGGCCTTAAAGTGCCCAGATCTTTCTCTCTTTAGACCACGGTTGCCGGGTTCAAATACTATCAATCACTAATACTTTTTAGCAACGTAATAACGATGTGACCCGGTGATTGAAATGACAACTTATTTAAGGTGAATAATTTTATGTGGAAGAATTTATAGGTACCTCTGCCGAGGGGAACCTTCTTGGTTGAAAAGCATTTCTGCATTTAAATTATTTAATAATTAATATTAATTATCTTGTTGAGTACCTTAAATATTAATCTCTTCTACCAATAAATTAAATTTACGGCTTTTTCTTAGAGTATCGGTAACAAATAAAGATTATTATACCCTTATAATTTTATTAGAGGATGGATATTTTAACAGTGGCATTTTTTAGATTGTTCGAAATATGTTGACAGATTTGGTATAAACTACATTTCAAGAGCTTAAAATAGCAGCAAACCCCACGAGATACATTTGTCAGTCTATATCTCACTCACGGGATTTGTTTGACAAAGCGGCAAACTTTTCATACAAATAAACCAATTCCGTACTATTTTTAACATAGAGTTTTAATTTAATTTTATCAGTTACGTTTTTATGACGATTTAGAGCTATTTAGGAGTAACTGTTCACCTTTTCGTGGCACAGACATACTTTGATAGAGAACCATGTTCAAATGAACAAAAAAAAAACGTTGAGGAACCTACCAGGAACATTTATTTCCAGAGTGTGAGAATGCTAGCAGACGAATATTTCCCGACCGGTTAATTGCATCTAACCACTAAGTTCCACTTCGTGCCCTTTTCGTTTTCCGGACTGGTTTAGTCCAAACGACACGACGCATCACGTGAAACTATACACCAGGACAGGAATGTCGATTGAAATTTTTTTTAGGAATCACAAGAATCTGTGAGTGTCTTGGCGTGTGTTTGAGTGTAGCAGTCATCAGAAACGTTTCTGACTTTTCCTTGTCCTGACCTTGAGTGTTAAGGTGTGTCCAGCCCTGGGTAGTGAGCCCAAGCTTTACTAGCCCTGTGCAAGTACCAAGGTAGACAGGAAGGTAGGCCCAGCCCTGAGTAGTGAGCCCAAGCTTTACTAGCCCTGTGCAAGTACCAACGTAGACAGGAAGGTAGGCCCAGCCCTGAGTAGTGAGCCCAAGCTTTACTAGCCCTGTGCAAGTACCAAGGTAGACAGAAGGTAGGCCCAGCCCTGGGTAGTAAGCCCAAGCTTTACTAGCCCTGTGCAAGTACCAAGGTAGACAGGAAGGTAGGCCCAGCCCTTGGTAGTGAGCCCAAGCTTTACTAGCCCTGTGCAAGTACCAAGGTAGACAGGAAGGTAGGCCCAGCCCTGGGTAGTGAGCCCAAGCTTTACTAGCCCTGTGCAAGTACCAAGGTAGACAGGAAGGTAGGCCCAGTCCTGAACAGTGAGCCCGATCTTTACTAGCATGTGCAAGTACCAAGGTAGACAGGAAGGTAGGCCCAGCCCTGAGTAGTGAGCCCGAGCTAGGTAGGCCCAGACACACGGGACAGACTGAGACGCGGGTAGATTAGTCAACGTCTGGCGCTGTTCCGCCTGACTCTGCGCCAACTTACGGCTCCAATTTTGCGGATAATTATTTACGTTCCTTCAAACTGTCACTTAATAAAAAGGTTATTTATATTTATAATAATATAAATGGGTTTTTTTTCGTTTACATTGTCTTAGCATAGTTAACTTATGTATTATACGAAAGCATTCTAGACCTATAGTTTTGATTATTTTATGGAATATTGTGTGTTTATTGTATTACCTTATCAAATAAAAATAAAGGTAAATAGTCAGTTATGAATCTAAATATTTTTAATTATCTGTTTGATATTCCTTGTTAATGTTTTAACTAGAACTTAGTAGACAATTGTAGATATGTTTGCGAAAAGTTAAAATTAATTTTGGTATTTATAATTGTCACGGAATAGCTGATTAGGTTTGCAATAATTAATAGAATGCCTATAGCATGTTCTAAAGAAATGGCGATTGAATTGATACCATTTTTTCCTCTAAAACTATTTAACCTTCAGGTGTATCAAAACATAGGTTTTATTAAGCTATTTTGCACCAAGTAAAACAAGTTGAATTAAATAAAGTACTACTATAACAAAACTGATGTTATTTGTAAATTTAAAAAATGAAATTTTAAAACCTAACATTTAAACGCTTCGTGTCACATATTTATAAATACAATTCAAAGTTTAGGGCGATTCGTTCTTATTTTTGACTGGAGTATTGTAGTAAGAACCATTCAAAAGTTTTAGTAAACCATTTAATTTTTCCTCCACATATAAAGCATTAAATTTTAAAGATTTTTATTAAAATCCTTTTTTGTCGGCAAACTAAACCCAAACAGTAATCCGTCCTAAAAGGATCTCGTTACAAAGACAATCGCATTCAGTGAACAAAACACAGAGTTGATTTACGGCAGAATTAACACCAGGATAAAGTACGCGATAAAACAAAGGTCCAGGGACATATTAACGTTGTACAGGCACCGTGCCACGGGCTAAAGTTAATGACACTCACATTCACACACACACACACACACACACACACACACCTACACACACAAAGAGAGCGGAATGTGTTGTGACAGAGATACATTGACCCATTAAACAGCTTTTCTTAACGCTAAGCCGGTTGGAACGAAACAGACATCTGTGGGTGGAGAAGACGCTAGACCGCAAACACATTCAACCTGTGTTCGCTGTCGAAATGACGATAGGGAATTCAATTAGGTAGAGCTGTTTGATACGATTAAATTTACATATTTTCTTATGAGTAGCCAATTTGATTAATTCATCAAAGTATTGTACCAACAGTTTTTCTTTCGCATAGTAACATTAAATAAAAATTTTAATTGAAATTTTATGAGTTTTCTCTATGACCGTTAACAGTATAAAACACTTATACAGTAGAATCTTGATAACAAGACTCTCATGGGAATTATTAAATGAGACTTGTTATCAAGGTTGACTCCTTATTGAGTGAGGTTTGCGATAACGTGTGAATTGGGGTAAAGTAAATTCAAGGGGATTTGAAAATGACACTTGTTATCGAGAGTGACTTGTTATCGAAGGTCTCCTTATCGGGGTTCCACTGTATGTACCGAATCATCTGTTTTTTTTTTTTGTTTTTTTTTTTTTTTTGTCTACCATAGATAAAACATACTCGGTCCTCAATCTGTAGTTCTACGAAATGGTTTAGAGAAAAATTAAGAAATTTTATGTTTTAAGGATGAAAATGAAATACAATTTTACTCCTTGCAATATACCACATAGCATCCTGTACTATAGGCCGATCATGCCTATTAGTAAACACGTTTTGTTAAACATAAATTTACACGTTTGTACAAAAGTTTATCAAAATAGGATCATTTTTACTCGAGCTATCATGCTAACAAACACACATATCTATATACATGAATTTGAACGTATTAAGCTGTTGACCTTCGGGGGGAATATTGACAGTTTCAGGTCAAAGCCTTATCATGAGACCTACGGCCATAGCTATTCCATTATGGGAAATTCACTAGAAGGACTGGTCTATTACCTTATTGATGGAAGTACTTGTTCTCCCTGCCAACCATACTTCACCTTGCTTAAATGTTTTTAATTCGTCTGATATGCCTTAAGAGTGAGTGCTATTGTAACCAATGTGTTAACTAATTTGTTACTAATTTGTATTCATAAGAATGTTCAAATTCTATGCATATGTTCATACTATTTTATTAAAATGTATAAAAACTTCAATTCGTTTGCATAAAAAAATACATAATGTAAAATAACGTAACAAAACTTGGTAAAAATGATACAGATTTTAACACATAATTCTTTTTGCTCATAAGTATGCATTTTATTTTAGATGTGTACAAGCAATCACAATGAAAATAGTCCTCTTGATAAAACCTCAACTCAAACTCTGTATAAACATTAAAATTGTATAAATATGGGTTTCTCAAAATTAAGTCCTAAAATACACAAAATGAAGACTTACAAAAACCCTGCAGACGGCTACCAACCCGCCCCTTCTCAGTCTTGGCGTGAAAAATAGGTGTTTAATGGTCCAATATATCACTGCCACCACAAAACACATACCAAGCAGGGTGAGCGTGCCTCTCCCTGTGTAATGGAGGCCTGTAAATGTGAGATTAAAGGCCTGTCAAGTGAAACATAACATTACCTTGGCATATTTAACTAATAATAATGATGCATTGCTTCGTACGATAGTGGACAAAATTCTTGTTTCCACTTTAAGAATCGTTGATAATCTGCAACGTTTTATGAAACCTATTTTTTTTCTTTTGAGGGAGACGGAAGCGTAGTGAATGAGGATAATATTAGCTGAAAGATACACAATTATAAACATATCATAGAAGATACACCAAAAAACTGTACGAAAATACAAAAGAATTAATTTATATAGGAAGCTGGTGGCTTTAAAAGCTTATCTTGTTACTAAAAACAAAGGACCAGTTTACTATTTTTGGTAATGAATGTCTAAACTATCCTGCAATTGACGTAGGCTCACTGAAAAAACAAATTTAAAGTAGTATTGGAAGTTGCAAACACTGGAGGCCCAGAATTAATTACTCTGGCAAAGCACCTATAAATCATAAGCATCTATGACTTAAGCCAGTTTTAAAGTCCAGTTTTTGCTGTAGGTTAGCCTACCAGGAGAATAATGCTGTTTTGACTCCCAAAAACCTAAGCAATGAAAGACAACTAACCACATTACCTTATTTTGTGTCCTTCTGTATTTAGGATCCTATTTACTTTCATTATTGAATCAATTTTAATTTAAAAAAATTGATAGTTAAAGTTACCCAAAACTACATTAACATATGAGTTATGAATTTGGGCCGTAATACAACAATTATTGTTATCGTGTTGGAAGGTCAAAACATTACAATTTATTAAGTAAAGTATTAACTTGTTACATTAGAGGGTTACACATAAACTACGTTCTAGCTTTAGGGCAGGGTTTCTAGCTAATCATGTTACTGTTGATTACTGCCCTTTGATAGTTCTGTCCAGAAATTGGGTCAGACTGCATAGTAAAAGTGGGTTGGACTGAAGTGGCTTCAAAAACTGTAGCCACTCTTTCGAATATCTGTGTACATAGCTGTATTTTACATTGTACCCAAGTTGTACTGTATATTTCACGGTTTACGTTACCTCAGCGAACCCCCCAAAAAAATTAGGTTAAATGCCTTAGGTTCGCTCATAGAATGTTACATTATTAAACATATTAAATAATTTTTAACTGAAAATAAGATCTTTGATATTTATAAAATAACAAAAACAATTTAAGAATATGATATACTTGGCAAAATAAAAGTGAATGTTTACCTATTACATATGTGAGGATAAATAGTTTAGAGAATTTGAACTGTTCTTTGAAAAATGTATTTATGAAAGTAAATTCCATAAATTTATTTTAGCAACCACATAAGATACGCAAATAAACAGTAACCTTATTAATTTAATAAGGTTTTTTTAGGTATCAATTAATGGTATGGTTTTATTGCCTAGCAAGTAGTAGTTATTAAACAATACAGAAATTAGTAGTAGCCTAAGACAGAAAATGATGGCTCCCAGTTAAAAGTCCAAAATGAGCGTATCAGACTAAGAAAAAAATTGAATGAAAACGTACATTTCAATATAAAAACATTTCTAGTTAAAGTCTGTGTTCATAAACTATATCAGAAATATTAACGGCCTAAATTAAATGTTTTTTATTCCGTCGTCTACAGTACTATCTGAAAATTGTCTGTTTACACTATCGATGCAGATTTATATTGGAAAACTTGTAAAAGTACCCAATCAACTCCAAAGTGAGCCGGGCAAAGTAAGATCATTAGCTAAGTTAAAATCACCTCTGCTCCAAGTAACTGGGCTACGGTGATTAATGTGACGGTGGCGTCAGCTCACTGGCGCTGCCAACGGAGACATCGTCTACTAATCATCTCACCAAACTAAATAAATATTTCTTGAAAGGTTTGTCACCAGTTCTTCTTTCCCTGACGTAAAATGTCATTCTTTTTCTTACGTAGGTTCATCCTTTATTGACGCAAATATGTTATTGTTGGTATTTTTTTTATTTGCATCTGATCGTTTATTTTATATAGCATTCAATACATCGGTCGTATCCAATAAAAACATTACAAGAGCAATTTCAATCGATACAGCAGATAGTGTATGTCTTAAAGTTAATTTGTTTTGTATCCATAAAAGTCTTGCATCCGCCATAACAACAATGGTGTTAATGTGTATTTTTTTTATCTAATCAAATCACTAACTTGAAAAGTTTTACTTCAATTAATTGAATGTTTAAAAAAACAGTACGTTGCTTTCCGAGACCCAAACAAGTTAGCACAGTTGGAAAATTTGGTCTTTAGTAAGCAAATATAAAAAGGTGTAATTATTTGCCCAAATATTTTGGGAGGCAAATTAATAACATGTAGCCTATATTTAAAGTTAAGTTGTACAGGGATTAAAATATTATATATTAATCTTTTACTATTAAAATGTACTGATCATTCAAATCAACAAAACAGCTTTTTTATATGGGGGGGGGGGGGTTTCACCCTGTTAATTGAACTTTTGTTTGTCGTTTTGATATTTTTGGGAAAACTAATACTTTTCTCCCAAATGATAAGGCCGTATATATAACTTCAAAAGGGAAGTAAAGCATATTCCATTGCGTAGACTCTAAATATTTCTTATAACTTTATGCTTATTTTATAACATTTTTATAAATCCTTGATTGATATTGCACAGTCTCATTACATAAATATTTTCATTGCATTACTGATGCCATAAGAGAAAAATGTAAAATACCTTTATTTTAGTACTAAAAGGTTGGTTTTTATAGTCCCATCTCCCACTACTCTGTACTCAATGGTGTCTTATCTTAGCAGATTGACAAAACATACTACATGTGTTACATACATTATGGTAGAGTAATAATTTGGAAAATTTAGGATCAAAGCTAACGTAAAATACGCTATTTTTCCTTGGAATAACCTCATCACTTACCCTTTCTTCGCAAATGTCAGTTCATTATAATGTACTCAGTGGAAGAGGGCTGCAGGAGGTTTCTCAAATATCGCTTACTTGTTTTCCATCATTTATTACTCAAGTTTTATCTTGATTAAAGTATAATTACTTAATATTATTCACGTCAAAATATAAATTATGTATAATAAATAATTGTCGATTTGATCCCGAGATCATTCAGTAGTTTTCACATCGTTCGAAATTGACCGTAGCTTTTCTACATAATTGCAATTTTAATTAATAGTCTTCGCATAAACATGTGATATTATTTAATAACAAACACGGCCGTCTAAATTTATTCCACTCTCACTTTGTAAAAATGGGTTTCAGCTTAAACTACACATGCAAGTGTGCATTGCTGACTTACAGGATTGGTTGACTATATTTTAGGAACTTTACTATTCAATAGACGTTTTTTAAATTGCATAAATCAACATAAAAAAGAACGAGCTGTTGGCCCGTCCTACTTACGGGAATCGAGTAGTCCATCAAAACTGTATAGCGTATCTATTAATAATTCAAGAATAGTTTAAGCAGTTCAACATTTATAGTAAAGAAAAAGCTGCCAAGATGAATTAAAACATGTGATCATTGTTATTTTCCTAACCTTTCCTCAAAAAGCCGAGTAGTAAAATGATTTTCGAAGATTCGTATGGTTATAGAATCTTACTTATTTCCTATAATCAATGACAAAATTACAGAAAATAGTTATTTGTGTAACTAGTGGTGAAAGTGGCACTTTGCTGCACACGAGAGCAATGTTTACTCTCGAACACTCGAACTCGCCTGCGGCTCGTGCGGAATGATCTCGAGTGCAGCAAAGGCCTTTTTCACTCGTGTTACACATTATATTTTTCCTACAGTCACTATAAAGCATATAAATAATTAGTCTTTCAACACTATACAACACGTTTTTAGGTTCAGCTGGCAACACAAATAGGTGCCCTAGAGAAAGTAGTACCCGCGGTCTGTATCACTCCGCTATTTTTCCTCGGCAAGAAATGTGCTCCGCGTTTTGAGAATATAGTTCCTTATGTTTTTGTAATTTGAACTGGTTTCCGCGCCTGAAAAAAATGCTTTAAAGGTATTTTCTTGTTTATTAAGATCGTAGGAATGTTTTAAACACGTTTAAATGAAAAGTCCAGAAAGTTCAGAAATACCTAAACTATAAACAGGAAATGACGGGTTAAATCGTAGTTATAATAGTCAATCAGCTGCTCATAGTATTATTATCTTTAAGTGTTGCCAACCTATTTCCAAGCGTACACGGATTACGTGCATAATAGAACCACGCTGTTTTGTGTTGTTTCGTTGGAATCCTGATGTGCGGCAAAGTATAAACCGTACGGCAAAGTATAAACCGTACGGAAAAGTATAAATATGCAGCAATTAGCAGCTTTCTGTACTATAAACAGTACAAGGAAGCCAACTTTGTCGGGTGACTGTAGGAAAAGTAAATTAACCTCATTGTTCTGTAGGATTTTTTTTATTTATTCAGCTGTTAGTTATAACAAATTATATTGCACTAAAACAAACTAAATATTTAAAAGACTGCCCAAAAAAATAAATTAAAACATATAGTATTTTACTGTGTATAGTTTAATAAACTCTCATCATCTTACCGAATAAATTAACGTATCAATGATTACAGCATTACACATAGTATAAATAAGTAAATTCTACGTACGTCATATAGTTTTCATCCAAATGCTGAATTTGTGTCGAAAAAGCTGAATGTTTACAACTGCTATGTTAAGCAAAATTGTATTATACCAAAAGCTAGAGAAGAATGTTAGCATCGGCTGCTAGACTTTTTAAAATTTGAAACTTAATTTCTAAAAACCTAAAACATTAAAATAAAATTATGGCTTTGACATTCCCTTGTTCTCAAAATTATCTTTCTTTCAACATAAAAGTTATGAAAATCCATCAAGTGGTTGATTCAGAATCGTGAAATAAATAAACCCTGTCACGTTTTAATATTATATGATATTATATCTTGACTTTATACCATTAACAGGCGACTTCTTTTAAGATTTCAAAATTATATATGTGCAGTGTTTTCTATACTAACACTGATCATTTTTCAGGCTGTCATTATATGAACAGTAAACACAACTCTCTGGATGCAGTGACTTCCACCCCTGGACCTCAGGACAAGGGTAAAGACCCCTACTTCGACCCCCTCACCCCCCGCAACGTCACCGCTCTTGTGGGCAAATCTGCCTACCTGAGTTGCCGAGTCCGTAACCTTGGGAACAGAACGGTAAGTCAAGATGATTAGAATTTAAATTGTATAATTTCCTATTTTTGTTATGTTTTTTATTCTTACTTATAAGTAGTTTTGTTTGAATTTCATTCAATACAACGTTCTTCTCCCGTTGTTTATGACTAACGTTCAATCACGAGTATTAACAAATTAGCATATCTCTTATTTCTTTGGTACACATTTTTCCCAATCAAAATAATCCTGTCGATGAAATATTTGGAGTACAGACGGAATAGCTTATGTTAAATGTCGTTTTGCGAGATAAAAGGAGTGCAAGGGGTAATATACTGATTGTTTAAATACGGTATGGCATAAGTTTTTTTGGCTTTAAAAGTGTTTAATATTTTTGCAATACCTTGGAATAGTTTAAATAATATATAGTAATATTGCATTATTATCTAAGAAGCATAAATTAAAGGAAATAATATTGAATAGAATGATCAAACTTGTTTAACCTTTTAGTAAAAAAATAATATCGGTAGACAGTTTTCTGTGAGCTTACTGCATTAATGTACTACCTTAATACATACTGAATAACCTTAAAGCTTTTTTGGGGCATGTAATATATCCTGAAGGTACATTTTTGTTTGAATAATATACAGTTCATATAAGTAAATATTAATTGATATTTATGGGCCCAGGGTTGTGAGAAAAGGAAAATGTATTGTTTAGGAGTGGAAGTTAGAACGTTTTCATCACTGTGTCAAATAAAAATTGTAATAATCCAGTTTTAATTGTGTTTATTTATTTTAAACTCGTGTGTTTTTTATCCATTTTGTACAATGTTTGACGAAGTCTTAAACTAAACTAACCAATAATGAGTTATTGTGTCAAATATGTCAATGTAAACATTTTACCCCGATTGACAGTCTTCCAGTAAACTAATCCCTCTTAGTTAATTAACTAAGCTAAACATGGACAACACACTATATATTTTGTTATGTAAGTAAACTTTTATAAAAAATAACAGCGACACGTTAAAAGGCATGACGAACACGATTCGTAAACATTGAGATTTCCTAAATACGCCTAATTTTAATTGGATTTCAAAACTACTTTTACATGACTCTATAATACCTTCATTTTTGTACTACTATAATTATCGTTGCAAACTATTAGCTTTTAATAACCCCAATATGAAGTAACCAAGACTTGCGATTTATGATCGAGAAACCGTGTTGATTATAACATGATTTCATAAACATAAATAGTTTCAAGCAGAGTAACCACCATTGCATTGCATAGAACATGTAACAAAATGTTAAACCGCAACCTGTTATATTCATCGCAAACAATGCAGTGGTCTGTTAAGCATGTTTGCATCATCCCACCTCTGTATTTCTTGTTTATATTCCACCTGTTAGTCACCCAATAATTGTCCAGTATGTTGTTTAACTTTTATTGGTCATACCTATGTTAGAAACATCGTAACACTTTTCCAGTGGATATCAAAATATTTACTTTCCACCTTGATTACCAAACGATATAACTTGGTTTTCATTGGTTCAAGTGCTTGTATGTAAGTTAAATTGGACTGGCATGTGAATAACTAGTTTTATTTCAATCGAGATGCTAAATTTTTGTTGGATTATTTCCAACGCCTTTACTTATTGGTTGTGGTTAAAGCATTACGCCAATTGATGATACAAATATTTATAATAAAGCAGTTCAAAAGACAATTTTTGAAAGAGTCAAACTTGTAAAATTCATATTATAGACGTTAAGTTTTATTCAGAGGTTTTTATTAGAATTCGTCTTACAAATGTTGTTACAAAAAGAGGTGAAATATAATTTTTTAGTTTATCAATCTTAAAAACATGAATCAAGCATTTCGACATGATCAATCGTTTGGACGCAATTTTATAATCATAGTAAACTCGTAGTAATCTGGCTATTCTTTACACTAGATAATAGCTTGGGCTTCCTCCAACAAAACACTGCCCAGAAGTCAAACTACCATTGACACCCAACTAATTACTTTGTTAACGAGTGAGTTCGGTGCCAAGCAAAACAATCTGCGCGGTACGTTTGATCTAATCACTTGATATGTAAATTAAACGATCCAAAACCTATTACAAAGGTCTTGGTGTAATGAATGTCTTGATTAACAGTGTCTTACTCGTTAAACATTCTATTTCCTAAAATATTATTTATAAATTACGGTAAAAGTTATTATTTTTAGATTCCTAAGTTGTTAATTGGTAGTTTTGTTAATAGACTTGAAAGTTAGTTTTATTGCACAAATTATCCTTCAGAATAGATACCATATTGAACTGTAGCCTAATCAACGTGACATATCACATTTCAAGCTTTTAGTTGTTACGATATTATGTGGCACACTAGTACGTAAATTTAATGTAAATTATCTTTTACATTGTATTTAGTTTTTTGTAACACATTGCTAGTTTATATTTTTATCAGAAGAACTTGTATTCACTTAATACACTTTAAAACAAAAACCACCGATTTGTAAAAAAGTCTGCATGTAAAATTAAAAACTTAACGTTTAGGTTTGAATTGTAACTGTCCATTATTGAGTTTTATTACAGAAAATATTTGTATAGTGTAGAAATAGTCATGAATATTCACGTAGTTTGCAAATGGAAACAATACAAATACAATGTACAAGTGTTGAAATAAAGCAATAATAAGTAATCACAACTCAAGCGTAGATCACATAATCAGGCTTATCAGATAGCAGTGTAAAACTTGATATTAATTGTCAGTATCATATGTATGGAAATTGTTCCTCACATTGATGACGAATGATACCTGCAAATCGAAACCTAATCTATACTAGATGGTAGGCTCCCATGGTCAAAGTATATTGTAAAATCTCAGTCTTTGGTAGATAACCATTCGTTATAAGGAAACCCATGTAATTGAACAAGTAAAACAGCTGACGTTTCAAATACATTGCAGCACTCCGTCTTCAGGCCGAGTTGAATACTGAATTATTCGACAGTTAACTGATATACAATGTATTCTGGCAGGTATCCTGGGTCAGACACCGGGACATCCACATCCTGACGGTGGGAGGCTACACATACACCTCGGACCAGAGGTTCATGGCTCTACACCACAGAGACAACGACGAGTGGACCTTGCAGATCAAGTGGGCTCAGAAGAGGGATGCTGGTATGTACGAGTGTCAGATCTCCACACAACCTGCTCGGAGCTTCTTCGTCAACCTGAATGTCGTCGGTGAGTTCATAGCGAACGATTGTTGATAATAGAGTTACAATTAAGGTTTAGAGTGGAAAAAGAAAACAATGAATAGTAAAAATTATCGCCATCAGCAATCTGATACATACATCCTCCCAATAGCTTATCAACAACTCTTATCATGCGTAAATGGTGGGAGTAACTGTGATTTTTAAAGAAAAAATCCAAAAGTTGGGTTGGAATAACTTTCAAGCCGTATTTCCCCCCTGTAATTAGGGTAGTAAAATTTTGTTTTGAGATAAGGACTATAAAACAAAAATGTGTTTACCAAAACCATTTAGCTACTGATTACGTATTGAGTTATACGTATGTATCAATGAACAAATTATTAGCTTATCGTAATAACAGAAGCTTACGAACAAAGTAAAATCCTTCCAAATATCGACTTGATATTTGGTTAATTAAGCCTTGTGATGGACCTCCTACTAATTTTATCCGTCAAGGATGTAGAGAATATAAAGTGCAAATTTTAGGTAGTTACCCTATTTTGAAACGTCCATGACCTATCTAAGACTTAATTAGTTTTATTTTAATTTACATATATTTTTAATATTTCTTAATCATTGTATCTCATTTGAGTTAGGTTATAGTGACTAGTACACTTCACCGACGCTTGGGTTACTGTAACGTGCAGATTTTCAACATATTCAATGCAAACATGAGAAATAAGTTAATTAAAAGTACTACTGTAGCGTGAAAACTAACGGAAAATTCAATTTGTGAAAGTTAAAAGCGACGAGTTGAAGTATAACACACCCCAATGTTGTGAACGTGGTAATGTCCGGTCGTTAACTGCGGCAGTAAACAAAAGACTTTGTTGAGAAACATTGTTTGTTTATTGAACTTTGTTATGGAGTTGGGAGCAGATCGTGTTCCCGAGAAAATAAACCTGAGATGCCGGATTTTCAGGATTAAAATATAAGTTTGGCCCTACTTTTACTGGAAGGAAATATTTAAATTTAGCAAAATATTTATTTTCTAGTGGAGTTCATAAGTTTGGGCCTACTTTTTATCTTTTTGATCAAAATTGATCAGTTGAAGCGTTTTGAAACATTTCAAATAATTATTATGTGTTTTTTTTTTATAGATTTTCTGCCTATACTAGCTTATAACGAACTAAACTACTATTTCATTGCGTTTACTGGTCTTCAAATGAACCATAAAGCACTAATACTTGGCTAAAATGACCCAAAGTTAATCAAATGTTAATAAACCAAATTAAAATATTCATAAACCAAAAATATACCAAATTGGTGGTTTGCAATTCTGTTTATGACCTATTTATATTAAAGTTATAGTATTTACTTTTTGTTTATATTCACAGTACTTAGATATTTGGTTTACTATTAAATCGTGATTTGATGATTATTTAAAACAAAAGAAACATGAGGCATGAGATTATAATAGGCAATAATAAGTTATTTTTATGAACTTGGCAGTAAAATACAGTAATATCAAGGTTGGGTTAATTATTTATTTGGATTTAAAAAAGCTAAGTGATTAGGGACATCCGGTTCCACTTTGAGATTTTTAAAAGGGATTTTAACTTCCATTGAAATGCAGTAATAATTTCCTTGGAAAAGAAGTAATCCACATTTTGAAATAACCAATTAATCAGAATGCAAATGTTAGTATTAATATGCTTTTTATAGTTCACCTCCGATGATGATTACGTTTACTGAATATTGTTGAAGTTTAGGTTTATGAAACATGTTTACTCCCAAGACTTGGTAACATACGCCAACATTGTATTTGCCTTATTGGACCATATAAATAGTGGGTCAACAGTTTGATAACTTGGTTCAATCAACATACTATGGCATTTCAGATCTTAAGACAATCCAAGAGCACGACTTGAAGAGACTAATCCAGTCACCTAGAGAGTACGACCCTTATCAGCAAATGTTCCGAGATATTTACCAAGGTTATTCAATAGTGTTGAAAAGAAAACTAACATTTGAATTGAAAACTTACTCATTGTAGTTAGTTTCACAGTCCTAGCATTGGTTTGGGCTTTGTGTTTGTTACTAACAGTAGATTTCAATTTTTAGGCGTGTCTCTCACACCAAGTGATGTTGCATGGACTTTGTTAACTAAAACATTGTTAAGCACTTAATCTACGTCGTCGTGCGTGAATGAGTAATCATCTTGAAGTAAAATAACAATCCACCTAGCGTTTGAAATTAGTATTTCACTTAGCAATGGAATCTTAGTAATGTTTAACCTATTTCATTTCTATCAGATTTTTCTTTTATAATAACTAACAAAAATACAGGGAGCTTGTAATATTAACACAGTGTGTTTCATGTCGTCGATCTAGCATTGTTTCACTTGATTTTACAAAAAAATAATTTTAGATAAGTCCATCACAAAGCAATGAATGTTTCAGGTCAATTTGGCCATTAAAATTACATGATTTTTTTTCGAACATAAATTTGTATAAGCCATGATTTTTTATAAAAGATGTAAGAAAGATTCTTTTATTTCTTAAACGAGTAACGAAAAAATAATAACAGTTATTTTAGCAAATAACACAGTTTTTCTGTGTTAATCGCAACAAAAAAATAAGTTAGATCTACTAACTTTTTGAATTTAATATACTCTTTAAAAAATTCTTATGAAAAAAACTAATTGTACTATTTACTGACAAATAAAATATGTAGAACCTCCTTCCTTGGTAAAATTACGTTTTATGAAACCAGACAATAGGAAATTCCTAAATAAGACGGAAAATTTATCGGTTTGAATCTTAAAAATCACTTCGTGTAACAAATATGCAAATAAAAGGAAAAATTACTGAATGTTTCTCGTTACAGTGAAAGTCAATCGTAGCCTCGTTATTTATAATTTAATATCTCAACTTAATGTATATAAGAATTTTATCCTAGGGAAAACTTGAAGATGAATATGCCTAATGGTCAACATTTACCCATTTCGAGTAAAGGTACATGACTATTTTGACGCTATGAAATGGATGATTATCATCTAAGTGCTTATCTAAGTTCTGTTCCTCAGTACCTACGGCCACAATACTTGGAGGTCCTGATCTCTATGTGGATAAGGGCAGCACCATAAACCTCACTTGTGCTATCCGATACAGCCCTGAGCCACCTGTCTATATCTTCTGGTACCACCATGAAGAGGTTAGTGTGTATTTTATGAACTGTTTGAAAAAACTTAATAGTTTACATGTTTAATGAACTAATCCGGATCATTTATTTATTAAAATTTGTTTACTAGTCCTACACAGATTGCTATTTCCTGTTACACTTTTTACTTGCAGTTATTTATTTGTAGAATCCTAAAGCCTCGAGTTCAATTCTATTTGTAATCATAATCTTTTTTATGCTGTGGAAACAGAGTTTTGGATTGAATAGTGAATGTTTGAATGATCCGTAAACATTGTTTGTATTGCTCTATAAGGGTAGAGAAAGTCTAATCGTTCAATGCAATTTATCTATTGACAGTATATTTTTTTAACAACAATGAATGATTTATTGAGGCTACCACTAATATATGAATTTGGATTTTTAAGAATCCGAGGTAATAGATGTTCTAGATTATTTACTGGTGAGTCGTTGGCCCAGAAATACTACGGAAATGCTACAGAATACTAATCCATGCCGGTTATATTATGTGACCAGTCTTCAACCAAAATCATTTATAGGCGAATTCCATTATTTTACTGTATCGGGTCACCTCTTTGTATGATAAATTTCATTGATAGGCCCATGCTTATAGTCAGACCAAGGTTAAAAGTGACCACTATGCTACAAAATTTCACAAATAACCTTTCTCTTACACATCTTACACATTCCCACCCCGATCATCATACTGACCCAGTTTATCAAAAGTATTCTGTAAATTAGTACGGATCATTATCATTGTTATTAGCACTCTAGCCCTGTTTCAAAGCATTACTATTGCCAAATCCTTAAATGTTTTATTTTTTGCAACAGAACTTCACTCAACAATATTACAACGTTTAAAAGGCTCACATCTGTTTTCTTTACGAGTAGATTATCTTCCATGTTTTCAACTGTGATAACTCATAATTATCTTATCGTTTCAGACGATTAGTTACGACTCCACGCGAGGAGGGGTGAGTGTCATCACGGAGAAGGGGGAAGTGACCACAAGTTATCTGCTGATCCAGAACGCTGAGCTGTCAGACAGCGGCAAATACACATGCAGCCCCTCCAACGCTGACGTGGCCACCGTCAGAGTACACGTGCTGAATGGTGGGTGTTACTGAAACTCTGCAGCCGGAGTGGTTCTTGTTTGACAGTGATATTATCTATAATACATATACCTTGCCTACATCCAATGTTTACCTTATTGCAGTCAATTATGATAAACGTGTTTAATATGGGATATGGAATTGTAATTATTTCGAACTGAAAGAATAGATGACATTAAACATAATTATTAAGACTAAGGTCATAATTAAGCCAGATAACATTGTGTTAAAAAGTATATACAAAGGGATGCACCAGCTTCAATAAATTAACTACTTAGTTAATTCGTTAACTTAAATAATGTAATAGGCCTAAATTACTTGACATTTCGTGAACGGGAAATGGATTGTTCACCAGTGATATTAAACAGAGTAAAAATTAGATATTGATTTGACTTGAACAACAACAAATAACGTACAAACAACCCCGCTTGCGTCATACTTGATTAGTACACTATTTCCTATATGAACCCATATCAAATTCATTAAATAATTTTCCGTACAAATCCGGAAGAATAACAAAACCACAGTATTATAAAATGTACAGTATAGCGAAATAATTGATCATCAATCAATTATTATTGAGTAACTTTTTATCATCAATATAATGAAAAATGTGGTAGGTAATATAATGTTTTTTTATTAATATAGTTAATTTTATATTTAATTAAGAACATTTTCAGTAATCAAGGTCCTTAAGGGAATTGATTACGATTTCAATTCACATTTAAATATAAATTTATTCGAATACAATGTCAAATAACTTATCCATAAATGTATAGTAGGTTTGTAATGCAGACACCATATACAGAGAGTGGAAATAGCATAGCATGTCACAGCCACTAAGTTTGGGTTTAACCGTAAAGTAACTTAAGCCGATAATGTGGATGTTACTCGTGCGATCTCTTACCAAACTCTAGGTTTACACAAGTTTATATAAACTACAACGGCGCAAACTCCGTATGTTCAATGTGGTTAAACATAGGTCAGATTATGGGCAATACTACTGTAAATTAAACTGATCTATTTTTATTGTTAGCTTTTGTAATTAGCATAATTATATGTTGTTAGCCATAAAAGTTAGGAAAATATTTCAATTGCAACCCTGATAAATATTTAAGTAAATTAATAGGCTGATATATATCTCTTTTTATATTAAGTATTCATTATTTACTAAATAAAGCGCAGTTTTAAAACCTGACTAACAAAATTAATAATTAAATCGCAATAATCAGGCGTACAATGAAGAAAAATGTCCATCTGTAATAAAAGTCAGTACTTCAACATCATTTTGATCTTAACATAGGCCTAGTTATCTGTATAACCTTTTAGATTTATTTATTTATTACCAACGTACATAAATCATTTTACAAAACACATTTTATCGACTCCCGCTGGTTTGACATTTATTATAGAACTGCCAAGGATAACGAATCGCTGAAAACATCTAAAAAAATAATGCTAAACACAATTAATTGAAACTAAGACAATTTACTCTCCGAAAATCAAGTGGGTCTTACAATCAGCTTAGTAAACTTTTACTGTTCATGGTCCCGTTATGGAAAAAAACTTTTATCTCCAAATGATTGTCTATTTTACCAGAGTGTGTCTTAACATAGTTCAGCATTCTTTCCAGTTTCTTTTATGTAACACCATTCATTCCTGTAAGATTTATTTGTCCTTAACGTCTCAATGTCTTGCCACAGGAGAGCGGCCGGCAGCGATGCAGACAGGATCAGCAGGTCTCAGCAACAGCTCCCTCAACATCCTAGCACTGATCCTGCTGTGCTGGTCTTACTCAGCAACTCTACAGGTCCTTCATTCGGGATCCTGGAGTGAGAGATCCACGCAAAGTTCAGGATCCTCTCTCAGATAATAATGACAATGAATGTGTTTCTGTTCTTCAAACTTCCAAAAAGTTTTGTCTTCGATTTGTACATATATGTGTACAAGCTGTTAAGAGTTGTTGAATTTTGAGTCCAGGGAAAAATATAGTGTTATAAAATGGGTGTTAAAACCGAGCAACGAATTATTATTATTCATAATATTTCTTTACATTAGTTTATACAACTATTCCATTATTTTAATTTTATATTTTTTCATCATATTATGCAATTTTTTGATTATTTATCCTCAACATTAGCAACTATTGCAGAATTAAAGATTTAGTTACGAGATTCTTTATTATATTGTACCAAGTCGTTTCGTCCGCGTGGTATTGTATTTTCCCCTAAAACAAATTGAATGAGTAATGAAGGTTTTTGAATTAGTTTAGCTAGTATATGACAACAATACCCGTGTATTATTCATGTTACTACCAGCACTATGTGTACTTTATTATAACCTAGCAGACACAGTAAATAATAACTTACAGGATCCAATATCTTATATTTTAAAAATAATTGTTATCGGAAAGAATGGTCGTGGGGAACGTACAATACAACCGGACTAAATACGTAGTTACTATTTATAATGTAAATATGTATATTATTATGTAAACTACTTTTGTGTAAAAATATCATAGTGTTATACTTTGTTTTGTACATAAATCCAATATGTATTGTATGATTACATTTATTATAATAAACTAGCTGTTTTGTATTGAAATGTGTTTTTATTACCATGCAGTTCTTTAAATAAGCTGGAAGACTATTGTTGAAAGAATATTATGTTTATGGTGCCAATATTAAATTTTACTATTTCATGCGAAGAGATAATTCTTGTCAAAATATTTACTTAAATAAACTATAATGCTCTGCTGATATCTTTGTTAAAAAAAAAAAAAAAAAAAAAAAAAAAAAAACCATAAAGATCTTAAATTTTTAAATCCAGAAGTAAAATTATTTGAAATTGTTTTTGTATTTTGAATGATTTATAACAAGTATTAATTCTATTTTAATGCTATATACAACTTTATCGACGTACCACATTTTTAAACTAAATTGAAATTGCACAATACATATTTTATTTTTTAAACCTCTTTATCCATGCTTTAGATAGTATTTTGCTAGTTAGTATGTTTTTAAATGGATACATAAAACATACTCTGCACGTAATATAAAATGCGACAGAGATCTCAGATAGAACAATATTGTTCTACTATTTGAGGAATTTCTTAATTCCCTTTGGACACATAACTCTTTCTGTCACATCGGTCTAAGAGGAATTGTTTTCTTGTAGAGGCAAGACGAAGTAACTGTAATTATTTTCATCCGAGTTTTGTAATTTCAGTTTTATAAGGTTATAATAATAGGGTTATGAAATAGCTTATGGAATGACACATTTATTTTACTAAAAAGCATTCTCTCAATTCAAAAATATTTATTCAGTACATTTACCGTTAGCATAAGCAAATTTATATAAATATGGAGTTCATGCTTAATATACAATAATACGTTGTAAATTCGTTATTGTATTCTTATACTTATTATTTAATGCTTATTATATAATTCAATATAGTAATTGAAAAGATAATACAATATCACCTTTATACAGATTAAACATGTATATATCGTTTTATACGTTCCAGAACGCGATAACTTGAGTAATGTTTGTTCGATTTTGATGAAATTTGGCTTATGATAAAGTGCGGGATGGACTGGAATGAGTTTGCGAATCAGCATGATCGGACTTGAGGAACGAGGTATTATAGGGAAAAATTGGGGTTTCTTGACACTCAAAACATAGAACTTTCAAATTTCTCTTTTAGGTAAAAAAAAAAAACTTAAATATTTGCTTGTTCGTGGTTATATTTTAATCAAACTTGGCTAATTTATTTATTCTATACTAAGCACAATATTTTACCCAAAACACAATTTACAACACCTTGATCCTGTAGCAGCAAACCTGGATACTTTTTATAACTAAATTTATAAATTTATTTAATTGAAAATCAAATCAGGCAAATGGAAATTCAGTTAGTTTGCAAGTTTGCCGTGGCAGGGTATTTTATATAAAAAAATCATACTTTTCAGTTGTAGCATATAATACGAGTCAGAGTAATAGTGTGATCCAATCCAGGTAGTATTCAACGTGCCTAAACAAACATACACGTATTTAACCAAGCCTGGAATGGCACGGAGGTTAAACACAGTAAATTGTATTAATCAAGTCAAACATTGAGTGTTGCAACTGTTTAACATACTAAACAAATATTTGCATACCTTGAAATCTCTACCTTCTCTGTTTGTATAAGTTGTCAAACAAAACAGTGGCAACTTGTGGTTGGAAATATGTGTCACTCTGAATTATATGTATGAGTTAATTATAATTTTACATTTTAATTACATGTAAGCACTTAAACGATGATATTGCGGTTGGAATCTAGAACTTATCGGACATGGAATCATTTTTATGATCTATTTTTATAATGGAGAGAATAATCACACAGGTACTATAGTGTCCTAACGAATCTACTTTTTAATAAATATATTATTAAATCTACGCATAAAGATTTATTTATACATCTATGGTAAATAGAGTCTGAGTATAAAGATGATAATTTTGCGATTCTCTTAATGGTAAAGACCTCACGATCATGATTGACCCGATCCAGGTCTTTCGACAAAAGTAGGAGGTGACTTTTTTAATCACTGCGTCATCATAATGTAATTAATAATCTTGCTGTATAGCTTATAATTTTTGTATACCATTTGGTAAAATACATTAATAATATATTTCTAAAATAAATAGGCTTAACTTTTAAATAATTATATTCTTGGTGTGGGTTTATAAAACGTGAACGTCATTTATCATCTAAGTTAAATGTTAAACAATGTCAAAAAATTAACACTTAATAAATAACTTCATTAATTTTAGTAATTTTTAAAATATTCAAATATAAAAAAAAAACATTGTAAGTTGGTAATGCGATCCACATAGTATAGGAAATCATCCGATCCGGGATTATACCCCATGCCAGAAATAAGTGACTCGGTTCTAAAAGGATATGTCTGAGAAGCCCAACTACCACACCTTCTTGACTGCACAATTATGGCAGAGAGAAACCAGACGAGTGCGGTTGTACATAAAGATATAAACTAGTGAATGTACAAATATTAGAATATTACGAAATGTGTTTTTTTTTTCAACACGAAACTGAAAAGTTAAACACATTCTGTACTTAAAAATGTTACCTATTCCAAAATGAAGTAAAAATTGTAAAATAACAACTCTTTTCCAATTCCACACCGGATGAACCACGTTCAAATGCAAGTTTAGAGGAATCAAAGTAACACCTTCGTCTTAAAGCTACTAAGTAAATGATTGAATAAGGATTAGTTTTAGTAATACAAATAAAACCAGGACTATTGTATAATCAACAGACATACTTTAGCTTAAACTGTACTAAGAAGAGGCCTATTTTAAAATTGAAAACTAAACAATGCCATTGCTTAATAAGATAAGACTTCGTTTAATTTGCAAGGTACTATACAATATTTAGTGTCATGTTATGTATTGAACTATGAAAGCTGTGTCGTTTAGTGATTTATCGAAGCTTTCATGCATCAATGGCATTTTCTGGTGCTTTTTAACAAACGGAGTGACAAACAAAGTATAATCAACTATTTTTGTTTGGTTTAATTAACGACCCTTAAATGTCTATATACGAGTAAATAAAGTTTATTCGTAAATAAATATAAGTAAGAACTGAACAGAAGTAAAACACGTATTTTCCAAAAAAAATGTGAAACTAAAACATACACGGATATATTTTTGTATATGTTTTTTTTTTTATTTTTACATTGAAGAACTTTGAGCATAAAGCAGAAAGCATAAAAAAACACCTTCTCTTTAAAAAGGAAAACGTATTTTTGTGTTTCACTAATTTTGTGTTTCAAGTGTTCAAATTTTATGTATTACGTGTTTTGCCAGTGGCGATGGATCAGTCACTGAAGGCACAATGGCCCGATGTATATTAGCTTATAAAAATTATATGCTCAATGTTACTTTTTACCGAATATAAGGAGTTTTATTTGAAGGTGCAAAACAATATTTTGATAATTACTTCACGTTATCTTCCCATATAGTACAAACTCATCTATTTCAATTGCAGGTTGATAAGTACAACGTATAAGGGTCTTAGTAATAGTTTGAAATGGTTGGATTTTAATCTATACCATACAAGTCATATACTTTAAATCGACATTTCCCAATTACAAACTCACTAAAACTTTATATACCACGAAAGAACGTTGGGGGTAAATGAAAATTTCCACACTCGATCAAACAACGTCAACGTTTGAAAAAGACATCTGTTATAAAATCAACCTTAAAGTATATAGGTAATTATCAATAGTAAAACTAATGTTTTTCTCCTTATAAATTACATTTCTTTATACAACACGAACCTTATGGCCAGGGAGCTTGTAATTATGTTGAAAGACGAGCACTAAGGTATGTTGTGGTCATTAATTATAAGTGTATATAAAGAGCAAAAAAGCTCTTCACTTTATATACTCATTTGATAAACTAGAAAGAGGAAAGAGGTTTCAGTATAAACCACTTCATTATAAAGAACCTGAGGCAGCTTGGTTCGTAAATAGATTTGGTTAATGATCTGACTTTGTAAACAGTTTTCCTTAATCGTAATTATATTGTAACTTTTTGTGGGAGTTGATCATTCTTAACAATTAAATCATACGAAAACATGTTAATGTATAATAGCTAATGATGAAAAGTGTAAAGTTAAGTTTAAATATCAAGATTACATCATAAGTATTATTATAAAAGTGGGGTTTCAGGAAAAATTGTCAACATAATGTATACCTAATTTTGTTATCAATATCATTGATAAAATATGCTTTTAACCCTTATATATGGCATATAAAAATCCGCTAGCATTTTGTGAAATGTGAAAGGTAGGCGGATATATTCGCCGATTATTATGACAACACATCATTATTTGAAACATCCTTATAACGTTGTTTACTCTACTCTATAAAGGTTAAGCAAATTGTATATAGAAGTAAAATAAGCCATACATTTTTATTTATTTATTTAATGCATTGTCATTTTATATTGATTTTTGCAAAGCTTATATATTTATCATACCAATAAACCATATGTCGCAATCCGGTTATAAACCTATCCACTAGCTACAATAAAACTAAAATTGATTCGTTCTCAAACGTAGATCTTCAAGTGCAGTGCAATACATCAAAATATGGCTGTTGAAATGGGTAAGTATTTTCAATTGTGTTTATTTCCTGTTCTATTAAGCTAAAAAACTAAGAAAAAAATTATACGTATTGAACCATAGACTTTCATAGATATGGTCTCATAATACGAAATTAAATTTTATTCTCATACTATAGTTATAATATTTGCAAAAAACTTGATAGAACTAGATACAAGTTATTGCTGCATAAGTTTTAATCCGTAACTTTCAATTTAAGTTTTCCACTAATATTTTTGTCAGCTGGTGAAAATCAAGTAAGTTCTTTAGAATTAACATCTTACATAGTTAAATTAACCTAATATTTAATCACTAAACTACTGACCGCTTTTCGATATGTAGATGCCTAAAAGGCTACAAAACCAACTCACAATGATTTCGATTTCTTTTTTTTTCAATTTTAAATAATTA